TTGTTTTGTTTTGTTTTTTTCCCTCTTAAGGAGCTTGTCACATAAGTTATATCTCTCAACTCTCAGGTCCTGTACATAGATCCTGCCATTTTAGCTACCCTTACCCAAAACTTGTATCTGAATAGGGTAAGAATAGATCCTATTTTCAGGGATCCATTGTATCTAGGCTTTCATTACATCCCTCCAACTTTCTTCTTCCATTTTTACCCTAAGAAATCTATTTCTCATCTCTGTGAAAGGAAGTTTTATTATTGTCTACACCAGCACTGTCCAATAGGGAAATAATGTGAGTTGCATATGTAATTTGCATTTTTCCAGTAGCCATATTAAAAAGGGAAAAGAACAGGTTGATATAAATTTCTAATATTTTTGTTTAAACCAATATATTCAAAGGACCATAATTTCAACATGTACTCGATATAAAAATGAATAATAAGATATACTACATTATTTATTACATACTAAGTCTAAAATCAGTACGTATTTTGTACTTATAACATCTCACTTTGGATTAACCACGTTTCATATGTTCATTAGAAGCTATTGTATGGAGGAGTGCAGGTTTTTAGCTGGATTCCATTTCAATACCCCCCCTCACCCAAAGGCAAGACTTTTGAAACTCAAAAACTAAGTAAAAAAATTTCTGTTTTTCTACATTGTTATATTCCTTTCCTGAAACAATGAGCAAAGATGAGCATAAATGAGGGTGAATGTGATGCTAGGGTGTATAAGAAAAGCCATAGGATAGAAAGGGAAATACCCGAAAGAAAAAAAAAGTCTAAAAATCCCATCAGTTAAAATTTCAAAAGTATTAGTCTGAGACATTGAGTTTTTAAGGTCATAAAATTTGCTGTAGGATTATTGGGAATAATTTTTGGCTGCAGGTTTTTAACAATTTCATTAGCAGTTATAAATTGCAGTAATATGATTGTGTATAGAATAACTGCTATGGCAACTGGATAAACAATGAAAAAACCTGGGAGTAAATCGTTTTATTAGGACTAAGGCACAAATTCCGTTAGTAGTTAAATCCTGCAATAATACCTCTGACAATGTGTACTGCAAAAACTGTAAAACCCAAAGATAAGAATTTTATCACCAGGAAAGACAATAATAATTCAAGCCTATGGCTGCATTTCATACTATAGACTCTCCATTTGGGGATTTTTGGAAGTAGTAACTAGAGAAAAGCTGCTTCATTGAAAGGAATTTTTAAACTTTTAACTGTCATGGCAGAGAAGATTTAAAGTTTTGGGGGTGGTATTTTCCACTTATTTCTTTGTATTTTATCTTTATTTTACATTTGATGATATTTAAAAGCAAAGTTGAAATTATTTGAAATGTTGAATCTTCTATTAAGAAAAACATCCATAAAACTTTGGAGTCAACAACCAGGGTCAAATAGAAAGGCCAATTAAAAAAATTTGCATACATAGATTATAATCTATTTCGCGTAGTTTAAGCCTGGGACTGGTGAAGATGATAAATCAAGACCTGAGTAGGGCTGGGTGTTATTAAGGAGCAGAAGAAACTCAGTGGGCAATCCTGGATGGGGAGGGTCAGTAGAACGTACATTTCCTATAGTATGAAAAATATAGCCTTCAGGAAAAAGTAACTTTTAGCATGCTAAAAGATTCCAGCTAATATAGGGCATGAATAGTGATCATGGGGATTGAGTCATTCTTAGTAATTATAATAAAATCCTGAGTCCACCTAAATTATTGGTGTTCCAATCTTGGTACCCACTGAGTTAACAGAAAAGAAATAATGTTGAATGTACTATTTGAAAGTCTTTAGTCCTTTAGATAGTGACGTTTGGTACCAAATAAGTATTGCCTAAGTTTTATCGAAGTTCTGGGTTTTTTCCCCCTGGCCTGTACATGTTTACTAACAGCAATCACAACAGAATGTACTAGTAATTATTATTTTACTGTTTTATTATGTGCCAGGAACTTTATGTTCGTATTTTCTATCTTCTTAACATACTGGAAAGATGGGCCTGATACTGGTTTTAGGAAGTTGGGACTCAATAGGAAGTTGGGACTCTGAAAGGTTAAGTACAATTTCTGTTATTTTCTTGCAAAAATGCTGAACATGTGTTTCTGAAAATTCTTGGAGAATGGGAACTAATTTTTATGTACTCTTAAATAGTATATAATATGATCAATACTCAGTTGGTACTCAATAATTACCAGCTAAGCAAACCAAAAGATCTCAATATTCTATAAAGTTTTTCTAAATTTTTAAAAAATAGTTGTAGATGAACACAATACCTTTATTTTATTTATTTTTATGCGGTGCTGAGGATCAAACTCAGTGCTTCACACTTTCTATCACTCAGCCACAATCCCAGCCCCTCTTCTAAAAAATTTTTTAGCAGACAGGTTTCTATTATTTATTTATTTAGTACCAGTGATTAAACTTTTAAAAGTGTTATTGGGAGAAGAAGCTGCTCTGTGGGGTCTCTTGGAGACAGCCTTTATGCATTTAACTCAGCAGTAGAACAATGTCAAGGTCTACTCTTAATTTCTTTACTCATTCAGTAAACAATTCTAACCTTGGTCTCTTAGCTACTCAGTGGCTAGAATGAAAAGTCGACATCCAAGAAAAACATTTCCCCTAAAAAGAAGAGCAGTTTTATAAGAAACTAAAAGTCTCTTGAAATTTTCCACAACTTGAGGAAGATTCCCCAAGGAACTCTCTCTCCCTCCTTTTTAAAGAAAGACACTGATTATTTAAAACTCATTGCTTTTAAGAAAATTTCTTTACAATAAAGTTTCTTTCTTTTTCTTTTACCTTTGCCCTCAACCAATTTTTTTGGAGGGAAGGCAAAGAATATTAAAAGAAACCAGGATGACCACACGAGCATGAGATTTTATGAAGAACAAAAATAAATAAAATGTAAAAACCTTCTATTATGTTTGTTGTTCTTGAAGGGCAACTTGAATGAACATAATTTATGACCATTTCTATTTATCAGCCACTAAAAAGAGTCCATACACTTGACCTATTAATGATACAGAATACTACATGAGGTCAAAAATAACTATAGGTTGTAGTGACTTAGTAAAACCACTCAAGAAAGACATCAGAGAATGCTAAGGTGAATGCAAAATAAGAATCAATTTAACTATTGTGGTTATCTCAACATTTTAGAATGAAGACTGGCAAAATAAGTGATAACTGTCTTTTTCTGTAAGATGTATACTTTGTTTTTATGGTATTATTTATCACTTTATTGAAATTGAAAATAGAATTGGATACTGCATTCAATGCTTCTCTCTCTCCATTTGTCCTAAATCTTCAATATTTGTCTTTCCCTTTTCTCTTGTCCCCCAATGTCTACAGATATTCTCAATTCCCACTCAACACTACCCTCCTTTACTCTCCTTCAAAGAATCCTCCCATAAAAACTCTAATACCTTTTTAAGGTACTTTGTCCATGCACCTTGCTTTCCAACTGTACTAAAATTAAGACTGACCCTCCGTTGTGTCTAGGGCCCAGACTTCCTGTTTTCTTTTCATATGTTAGCTTCCCTCTCTTTTTCCAAACTATTTGCCTCTGGAGCTTTCCTAATGCTCCTACTTCTCTGACCATTTGTCCTCAGTCTCTTTCTGACTTTACTCTTCTTAGTTCCTAAGTACTAGGATCCCCACAACACTTTATTCTTTGTCCTCTTTCCTCTATACCAGTGGTCTGTGCCCCAGCTAAAATTGAAAGCAAAATTTTTGTTTTGTGATAAGGTAATTTTCCTCCTTGAGAAAGTGTTTATAGCTTTCATTTTCTCAAAAGGGACCATGGCTTTTTAAACAAGGCTAACTACTCCTGCTCTCACACTCTTTAATTTATTTCATCCCTTTAGCCATCTTTTTAAATAGCCAGCCACTCCCAAATCCATCCAGTTCATACCAAGGGATAATAAACCCCAGAAATCAAGAGTCAAATAATAATAATATTGAATCAGAACAAGGAGAAGTTGTGGTGTACACACTTTATGTCTAGCTCAGCTTACTAAATCTCCTTGAGTACCAATCGACTGAACCTTGGACAGGGGTATGGGTGGGTCTGGGAGGGTCCTTAATTTTGTTCATTGGGCGGGGTGTGTGTGGGGGGAACAAAACGGGGAGGAATTGGGTGAAAATAAAAAAAGGTTGTGTATGCAAAACCCCAGTTCCTAGTGGCAGAAGAGAGGGCTCGCCCAGGTCCTAGGTGGTGAAAGGCGAATGGGAGAGACAACTGACAGCAGCCTCAACGACAACCCACAGCGGCAGCAAAACCAACCCCTAACTCTGCCAACACCACCACCACCACCACCGAGAGCCAGAAACCCCCCCCCCCGCTCTGCAGCTGGCGGTGCCTTTGACGGAAAGCCACCTTCCACGATCAACTTCCAGTTCAATATAAACACTCCTCCTCCCGCCTATTGCTTCCCTCTTCCAGCCAATCAAAGGAATGGGCGGGATTGTCCTTATTGGGTTCCTATTTTTTTCTATAAGAAGGGTAGACTGTGCGCCGCGTTCCGGTCGAGGGAAAAACACCTCGCTAGCTAGGGGGTGGGGCCCTTGTGATGGGCATGCGGATCTGCCAATGAGGCGCCCCAACCGAGCTAAGGCCCGGCGGCCGAAGTGGGCGGGGCTCACGCGGGGCCCGGCCAATGGCGCCGGGGCGGACAGAGGTTGAGCTGCTGTGGGTAGGGTTAGTGTGAGAGGTGCGGCGGGGGAGGTAATGATGATGGTGGCGGAGGAGGAAGGCGGGGGAGGGGGTACTGGGCGCTGAGCGGCGGCTCTGGCAGGGTTTGGTAGCGTGGGAGACGGTCGCAGGGCGATCCGTCAGGGAGGGGGCGGGCGGAGGGGCGCCGGCCGCCTGAGGGGCTGCAGACCCCGGCTCCCGCTAGCGCCGCAGCTGGCTTGGCTCTTCCATGTGGCTCCAGCGGGGATGGAGGACTCGGTGGCGGCGGCGGCGGCTGCTGCTGCGGCGGCGACGGAGGAGCGACTCTGAGGAGGGAACGGGGCCAGACCCAGCCCGACAGCGGGAATAGAGGTGTGAGGAGGGGGCGGGAGTGGGCGAGCGGCGGGGCCGGGACTCGGGTACCGGGCTGGGGTCTCTGGCAACGCTTGGGTGACAGGGACCGCAGTGGGCCACCGCCTGTCTTTGCTGGGGGTCAGGGGTCTGGACAGGAGGCAAGCCTCTGGCAGGCTGGTTCCCAGAGGATGGGGGAGGGCGGCACCGCACCCCGCACAGTCCACTTGCCCCCACTGGTCACTGCTTCACGCCCAGGCAGGAGTTTCCATTTCCCTCCAGTTGGCAGCGAAGGTGAAGGGAGCCCAAGTGGCCTGGAGCCCGGACATTGCCTCCCTATGCCTTGAGCTTTCCCTCCACTACTCGTTGCCCACCCATTTGCCCCTCCGAACAACAGCATTCCTCCCTGCTCCCTAGTGTGTTCTAAGCATGTATCCTGGAACTCGAGGCTATTATTGAAAAACAAAGTTTATTTAAAAATACTCTACTCTTCTCTCTGAGTGGCCGTGGATATTAAACCGCGTCCCTAGACTTTCCCGCTTTGCTCGCCCTTGTTTGATGATAGGAGGGAAGGTAGGGCCCGTGATTGTTGTTGATGCTGATTACCTGATATATTGCTCCATGTCTTTGGTGTGAATTGTAATTTCTTTCTTGGTATCTTAAATTCTTGATGTTACTGGCTTTTGAGGTTGGTGTTTTGTTTCATTGTTTAAAAAAACATACAGAGAACCTGGGTTGTCTGTTGCAGCATTATCCAACATGGGTGGTTAGTCACTTTTTGTGCTACTCTCCTCATATTCTTTCTCTTTTTGTCTTTGTTTTGCTTTTCAGCCCTCCAGAATAGGAGTCTTATAGCCCCTGAGGTGGAATGGTGATGGCTGCTTGAGGGAATCTCCTCTCATTCATCCTGTCATGTATATCATGCTGCTGGTGATTGGGCCATTCATCTAAGATGGGATTTACCCTGTGAAACAGGGAGAAGACTTATGGACCCCAAACATTTCAAGTTGTAATTGAGTTTTTCAAAGTACAGACACACATGCAAAGCTCTTTTGCTTTGGACCCTCTGCTTTATTGAAGCTGCTGTGTTGCTAACCCAGAACTGTTCCAGTCTATTGACCCATCATCATGGCTTCAGTTTGGAAGAGACTGCAGCGTGTTGGAAAACATGCATCCAAGTTCCAGTTTGTGGCCTCCTACCAGGAGCTGATGGTTGAGTGTACAAAGAAATGGTAAGATGTGCTTGGGGTTAGAATTTGCTGAGCTGTGGCCTAAATTGACTGTGGCCTAACTCTTGAGACTTTTGATAGCAGACTTACCTTTCTGTAGTGCACAAGTGTGTAGAGGCTGGGCGGGGTGCAGAATACTCAAACAAGTACTGTGATGTGCACTGTTGCTGCTGATACTGTCCCTGTGGATTTTAATTACTGTACTCCAATATGTCTCAGAAGACTGTAACTGAGCACACTGAGTACAGTAGATTTTTGTCTTGAGGTCATTTATCATTACTATTAGAATAACTTTGATTTTTATAATCTTAAATAGCAGTGGCTAATGAAACAGGGCAAACACATGCATACATTTTAATATAACATGTATGTTTTAATGTGGAAGACTAATGGTGATAATCTGTTTTATTTTGTTTTTGTTTTTTCATTTCTATTTGCTTAGGGTAAAGAATTTTTCATTATTTGAATAATGGAATGCCAGTCCACACAACCTTAGAAATTCTTTTGTTAAATGCTTAGTCAGGCAACTGTATTTTCTTCTAATTGCCTTATGGGATACATTTCTTGGCTGGATTTAAGGAAGCAATTAGTAGTGCTGGTCGGTGATTTGCTTCTTTCCACTTGAGCAAAGTAAATTTAGGGCTTTCTTTTCACTGCTCTGAATGATAAGCAACAAGAATTCTTATTTACTGAAAGAAAAAAGTTAATCTTAAGCAAATGGTCCTTTGGGTTTTGATTTATTGCAGTGATTAAGCAGTATTACTACAAAATAAGTTCATTTTATCATCCACAAGAACTGTAATCTCATGTCTATAATAACCTCTGTTCCTAACATCCTTTTTATTAGATGAAGAAAATAGTTTGTTCTGTTCTAGAACTCTTACAGCATATTCAATTTTTTTTTTGAAACTATAAATGCTTTTGTCTTGAACTTGTTAGGAATGTTATTTTAAAATCAATTCAAGAAATGCATGCACTGATTGCCTAGTTTATATCAGATACTGTTGATTTGATCAAATATGACGTAAGCTCCCCACCCTCAAGGAGCTTACAATCCAGAGTAAGGATACACATGTAAATAAGTTCATTGTGATAAGGTACAATATTATAAATGTTATGATGTAGGGATTTTGATCTGTCTCTATCCACTTGGGTATCCTTGGGGAAGTTACCTCTCTAATTCATTTCTACTTGCACAAAAGTAATAATGGTACTGCTTCATAGGAGGGATAATTATGAAGATTAAATGAATTAATTCTTGTCAAATGCCTTTAATATTGTCAGGGACATAGTGCTCAATAAATGGCATTATTATGTACAGAGTTGGCAGAGGAGAAAATAATAATAATGGTTGCAGATGGTTTCCTGGAATCTGAGCTGGGTTTTAAAGATTAATAATAATTGTCTAGGAAGTCAAGGAAAGAAGTGAAGAAATTCTAGATGAAGTAACAACCTATGCAAAAACATGGAGACACTAAATAACATGATCCATGCTGGAAATTTAAGCAGTATAGCTTAATATTGATGGGGTTTAAAGTGTAGGATGAGGGAATTGCAGTGAGATATAAGGTTTGAGAGGCAGACAGAACTCAAATCATAGAATTATGTGCTATTATGTATATGGCTTGGGTGTTATTCTGTGGGTGAAAGGGACATAGTGAAAAGTTTTGAGCAGAAGAGTCATTAGGTTTGCAATTGGAAAATCACCTTGACAACAATGTGAAATAAGGATTTTTGAGAAGACAGTGACTCGAGACATTGATATGAGAGGAATAGGGATTGGATGAGGCCATGACAGATGGAATAGAGAGAATTTACTGGAGAAACACTTAAAAAAAATAGGACTTGAGGATCATTTCAGTTGGGGGATAAGGGAGAAGGAAAAGTCTAAATTGGTACTCAAGTTTCTGACTTGGAAGGCTAGGTGTAACAACTAGCCAAGATAGGAAATACATGAGGAAGGTCCTGTTTACCAGTATTTCTTAACTAGGAAATGTACAGGGAATATCAACCTGAATATGGTTAAATTTGAGTCTCTTCTTAAGGACTAGAACACATTAGGTTATTCTTTAGTTACAAAATCAGTTTTTTTCCCCAGTTTGTAGCATCTTGGAATTATCCCCCCACCCCTTGCATAAGTAGTATTTAAGTTATTGTTAATGTGTTTCAAAGTGAAAGCAATAGTGAAAATCTAACTTGATTATAGTTGAATAGATGACTTGATTTCTTTTAACAGGTGTACTGTCATAGGTATACATATTAAAATAGGTCTTATGGTAGGATCTGAAGTTAATGCTAGAAGCATTTGAATGTTTTCCTATAATTTTCAGATATTATTTTGGGAGTGTGGAAAAATAGGAGAGAAAGGAAATTTAGAGATTCTGATTTAGTGAAAGGAAATAGGCATTAGTAGAGCACTGAAGATAAATTGCAAGTATTAAGAAGATAAGAAAGTAGATCTGATAAATTAAAGAAGAAAGTAACTATAAAAATGAAGAACAGTTGGTATTCCATTGAGATTATGCTCTCGGAGGTAACCTGTGTATATAGATGCCATTGCTTTTTAGAGCCTTGCTATTTAGAAGAGGATAGATAGAATGGAATTTAGGAAAGCTATAGTGTGTTGAAGGAAGAGGGTAATGGGAATCAAGGTATATTTTCCAAGGGAGAGAGTATTATTTCTGTGACTAAGGAGGGGAGAAACATCCCATGTTCTCTTGTCATGGCCACAAAGTATGAGCCTTATCCAAGGTTTGTAATATCCTGATATTACAAATAACAGGTCAGAGTAGGGGCTTACGGGCTATTTTTTCAGTAGGGGCTATTTTTTTTTTTTTAATCTAGACATGGACAAGCTTAATACTTTACTCTTGATCAAAGGATAAATAATAAAAATTGGATGTTTTGGGTTTTCTCCTTCTCAAGCTTCTTCTCTTTATTGTTCTCTTGTATTTTGCCTTTTCCCTGGCTAATTAGTTCAAGTGGGTCCATTCCCTGATACTTTCAAGGTGTAGTGGTTCTACACCTTAGGTCAGAATCAAAAACCAGAATATTGGAGAGAAGGTTAATACATACAGAGGTCCTATCCTGTATCATTCTCTGAGTCACATAAAGAAGCTGTAAGCAAATTTGGAGATGATAGGGATTTAAGAAATAGTTTATTGTTGTCTTTGGTCATTTAATTATTCATCTTGGTTTAACTGATATAGCCATTGGTAAATGGACTGGCCACTAGAGATGAGTTTGAAAGAGATTGTGCTGTCAGTTTTCTCTTTGTTTAATTCTTGTCCTTTTCTTTTGTTACCTGCATGTCATTAGATTTCTGAGGGAAGTCTTCTTTACTATATGAGTTCTCAATAGTTATACATACAGGTCTTTAAGGAAACTGCTTGAAAATCGACAAGTCCTGATTTTGATGCTAATTTAACTAGGTTGCAGAATTAAATTTTGTTAGGGCATTCTCTGGTATATGATATGAACCATATGTATGAGGATATATTGTATTTTGTGTGTTTCTTCATTATATACAAATATGAATATGTTTTATCTATGTGTTTATATTTCTTTCATCTAATTCTTAGAGTAGGAGGAGTAAAGATTTTTCTATATTGTATTCCTTTTTCTTGTTTTAAAATGTAATTTTACTTATAATTTATATTTTAAATAGATGATACAGTCACATGGTTTAAAACTCTAGAAATACAAAAAGGTGCATGTGTGTGTTTGTGTATATATATGTGTATCCCTGAAAGTAACTCCTCTTGCTCCATGATTTCATATATCCTTGTGACCTCCAAATTTGAAAAATAAAAAGATAGCTCATTTCAGTTTTTAAGTTTGTAACTAATATTGGCCTGTAAGATAAAATATCAACTCCTTAATCTGATTTACCAGGCTCTCTGTAACTGATCCCAGTTTAATTTTCCAGCTGGACATTAGAAAGCTATATGCACTTTCTGTGGTAACTTGAATTTATGAAAGCCAAATTATATTAAGAAGCATTAATTTTAGATTTACTTCTTTGGGTGGCGTGAGCAAGTATTTCTTTGTTGACTATTTAATGACATGATCTAGAGTTAATGACATGATCTAGAGTCTTAATGTAAAGAACTTTAGAAACAAGTTTTAAAAAGAAAAAGGAAAAAGAATTAATTGGAAATAAGCCTGATGGGATTTTGGAGCCTCTTGCAAACCACTGTTTCAGGAGCATAGTGAACAAGGAGTAAAGCAGTAAGAGGTGAGATCTGAGCAGGTGGTAGAGGCTAGATCACGGAGGGCCTTGAGTTCATGGTAAGAACTTTGCATTTAAGTGGGATAGGAAGCCATTGAGGGATTTGAGCAGGGAAGTGATATCATCTGATTTACTTTTAAAAATACTGTTTTGGATTCTTTGTGGAGTATGAATTGTTGTGAGTAGAACTGGAAGCAAAGATGCCAGGAAATTATTGGTAATAGTCCAAGCAGCAGAATGGTAGGTGGTAAGAAATGGTCAGATTTGTATAGGTAACATGTGACCACACTCCCACCCTCATCCCCGCTATTGAACTTTATTGAGGTATAACTTACACTTTTTTTTTAATATTTATTTTTTAGTTTTAGGTGGACACAATATCTTTATTTTACATTTATGTGGTGCTGAGGATCAAATCTAGTGCCTCATGCATGGTAGGCGAGCACTGTACCACTGAGCCACAACCCCAGCCCCATACACTTTTACATACAATAAAAGACATGCATTTTAAGCCTGTGGTTCAGTGAGTTTTGACAAATGTGTGTATCCATGTAATTGGAAAGTAAATTTTTCAGAGATACAATTGACAGAACTTATCAATAGATATGATAAAAAGAGTTGGATCAGAAATGACTATAGAAATGACTATCACATCAACCAGGTGAATGTGATACTAATTACAGGGGTGAACTAACAGTTGGTTAGGAAAAGGTTTGGTGTGAGGGAGAAATCAAGAGTTTTGTTTTTCTTGAAATTTGGGATGTCCAGATGG